ATATCCCAGGATATTTCGTGATAACTGTCATATGCCGCAGTCATTCGTCTTCGAACTTCATGGATTGTGTATTTTAATGTTCATCCAGGGTTGATCAACCCTGCTTTTTGTAAGGTGCTTCCATCTTACCCTCTGGTAATTTAACATAGCTATTGAAAATGGTCATAGAAATAGTTGATTTTCCCACTAATAATGGTGATTTTCCATAGCTATGTAACAGTTTACCAGAGGGTAATCTGGATGAACTTGATCATGACCTCACGTCGTTTTACGTCACTGGAATGTTTCGGATTCGGAGAATCATAGCTGTTAAAGGCTGGCCGCAAGTTTCAGCTATTTTTGGGTTAGTGAATGATTAGAATTCAGTCAGATGTTTAACGTGGTGAATCTTAGATACCTGGCAAATAAAATCTAAGTCTTAGCTGGTTATAACATGTTATAACGTACGTTTTACCATAGCAAAAGATTCAAAACGTATCGAACCAGTCGCTTGACCCAGACCTCCGCACTTGATCAACAGTCGGGGCTCGACATCCCACAGGGCAGAGCATCATCTCCAACGCGCGCGCTGGGCGCGCCCAGCGTCCATATACTCAAATATCGTAAAATGATGTACCATCTGGTTATTTGTGCCATAGCCACGGAAAATCACCATGCTATTAATAGGTAAACCATCTATTTCTATGGGCCATCTATACCATGGCTATGTTAAATAACCAGAGGGTAAAATGGGTCCACAAAAGCCGCCAACATTGCGAATCTTGAACCAGTCGCCCCAGTCACTGAGTGTTTCTGAGCTTCTGAATTGATCGTCCCAATCTGCGACTCATAATATGTTTTACTTTGTCTAAAGGTGGGGCAACCCAAGATCCCGAGGTTTCTCATCATCTTTCACATGAAGCTGGCAAAAAATGGGGGGCCCTCATTTTTTTTAGACAGTTGCAGTTGTTCCCGTTGATTAGTCCCATGTGATTTTTTTGCCACGGCTGTTGTGCATAAACATGTTTTTTTAAGTCATGTGGTAAAGCCAATGACTTAACATCTCTTTTTATAGGGGGTAGTTCCCAATGGTAAAGCCATTATTTATGGTATACCCCCTATTTTCTAGTAAGGTGGTAAACATCTCTTAACCATCCCCACTGACTCCTCATAAATAGGGGGTATCCTCCATCCCAAATGCAAGTTGTGGCATTGGGTTTACCGTTTACCAGGTGATTCACGTATCCATCTCTGCTCACATGCGAATCTGTGCCTGTTATATATTCCCACGTGTGCCATGGTCAAAAGATGATATATGGGGGATGATCCTCCTCCCATCACTAGGTATTTCTTATGCCATATAAAATACCGATCATTCATGATCTTTCCAAGATATCTAAACAATATGAAACCATCTTCAGCGACCTGGGCAAAAAAAGGGTAAATAAAAAGCCCCATTGTGGGTGGGATGACTCATCCCCTTTCATGGAAAAAAAAGTCCCAACGTTTGACCATGGCAGTTGGAGCTCCCCGACGAGTTCAGAGTTGCTGCAGCTGCAGGTCCGATGGATTTCAAGGTGACTCCAGGCACAAAAAATCTGGTGCTGAACAGACCTTCCTGGATGTCTAAGATGGTGGAGTTGTTTTTGTTGGAGCTGTTTTTTGTCTGCATTTTTGCTGAAGTTTGAATTGATCCCGAGTGATTTTTCGAGACTCAAGATGATAATCTTCCTGGCTGTGCTAAACATTTTCAGGCTCTTGCTGCTGGCTGTGTTTTCAAAGGGCCGGACGAAGCGAGTTATTCCAGGTATAGCGACCCACAATGGGGTACCAACCCGCACAAATTGTAAATATTAAGGATATGTTAATGGTATGTCAAGGTACCCCATTTGTGTGGGATATGGTATGTGAATCTTACAATACCCTTAAACTATTGTAATGGTATGTTAGTGGTATGACAATGGGATTTTCATGGGATTTTAGGATAGGCAAAAATTCACTTTTGGGGTTCATAAGTTTGACCCAAATTCCACAGCCGGAATTTTCTACTAGGCCTGGGAAATGTGAACATCCACAGAAGATGTTGATTTGGCGATATTTTCAATAGTGACCTTACATAAATGACCAGAGGGTAACAAGAATGAAACACTAAAACCAGATCGTGTAAGCTTGACTATATAGTCATCGCACCGGTCAACTGGGCATTGCTCATGTGGTTGGATGTTCATCCCCACCTGGTGAGTTAGGTGAGTTGTAGGCTTTGAATCCTTCTGACCCATCACTGCTCCAAGCACCTGTAGTGTGGGCAAAACAATAATAAACCATCCCCCAGTCATCACCATTTTTATAGGTGGTATGTAGAAACCATTCCCAGTCATGGCTGGTTTATGGCATTGTTTTACCCACATTTATTAATCCCTAAACGCCTTTGCAATTTCTCTCTCCCCATGGCTCTCAGAACTGTTCCTTCTCAAGATGGCCATGTAAGGGCTATCCCTACAAAAAGCCATGGCCCTGGAATCATTATCATAAATCCCCCTGATATACCATCTGGTTATGACTAACAGTTCGCCATGGAAAATCCCCATTTTTAATAGGTAAACGGTCTATTTCTATGGGCCATCTATACCATGGCCATGTTAGTCATAACCAGAGGGTAATACGTGTTGGTGATACAGCTTTTTTTGTCTTCTTTATATCCCGTTCTTTCATGCCATTTCTATGGTTGACAGCACCCGCCGCCCGCCTCAACGGAGGCTTTCTCGCCAGGATTCGGCAAGACAAACGGATGGTTCACCTGCCAGACCGGTTGGATGGAATGGTAGACCCATGAAAAATGAACGAAGTGCCACAGTTGGAAAATGTATTTTTCTTCAACTTGGCTCATCCACTGCGTTCTTCCTAAGATCAGATGTTCAACGCAGTAAGAAGAAGCATTTCTATGCAGGTGTATGTATATTATGTATCATATGTCATATGTGCATTTACAAACATTCTAAATGCATGGACGAAGTCAATGCATCTTCCACGTTGTTTGTTGGCCGGTTCCACGTCGAAGAGTTTCTGTTGGCCGTTTCCCTTTGAGAATCCATGATTCACCACACAAAAGCTGGGATATAGTGTAACTGTGCATAAGACATATGCATGACTATACACATAAGATTGTATGCATATGTTGTATATATATAATTGTATGCAAATATACATAACTGGATGCATATTTCTACAATCAAAAAAAACTGGGATGATGCAATGTTCTTACCCGCTATTTGATTGTAGATATCCCCATTGATATCCATTGATTCCATTCATCACATTTCATGAACCACTCATATGTATTCTTCTGGTACCCCATTTGTTGCCCCGATTCCGCCGCATCGAAGATCTTGTATATCTGGGCTATATTAGCAGATCTACTCACATGCAAACTCTCTGTTATATATATATACATGTTGATTGTGTTCATATACATATACACATGTACATGTATGTATATACACTAACACTCTCAAAAAAAAATATCAAAACGATTCTACATGTCTAGATATATAATATATATATATACAATATACTTACATACAGACATGACATGACATGGCATGGCATGGCATTACCTTACTTTACACTACACTACATTGCATTGCATATGTAACTGAGATATAGCTCCAACTTTAACTATAACTATAACTATAAGTTTAACTTTAACTATAACTATAACTATAACTATAAGTAAGTATAACTATAACTATCATGATAACTAAGAAAATATCGCCCCCGGATCCCGACCTCCAACTTCATCTGCCGCCGCACGCTGCCCGCGTGCACCGCCAGGATGGGCTTCGGCGGCAAGTTGGAGGCGGTGACCACCGTGAACTGCGCAAGGCGAAGCGAAACGGGAAACCGTGCCCGACGGCCTCTGAATGGAAGATGTTAAAAGTTTTTTCATAGAACATAGTAGTAACCATAAATTTAACCTTGATTAGTAATCAATCATAAATAGAAGATGAATAATTTTAGTAACCATTATCATCATAGACACCAGAAGTAGTAACCATAATTGGTCATCAATCATAGTAACCATAAATTTATTATCATGTTTGTAAAAAAATGATATAGAATGATATAAATAGGAATAATATGGAATAATAATGATGATGACTGGCTATCATAATAACAGTAAGGATAATCATACAATGTGGTGCCCCCCAGTTATAAGTTGGTTTCTAAAACCCATTAAACCAGGTACCATAAACCATAGTTATTGGAGTTATTAAACAACTTAGCTATCCAACGGGGGCCCCACTTTGTAAGAATCATCAGCAGCATCCTGCAACCTGCCTCCATATCATCGGCGCCAAACCGCGAACTTCAACCCACGTGACGCCCCAAAAATGCCGGGGCTGAACAGCTCAAGGCTGACCAAACAAAAAAGAATGGAACGTTTCCTCATGAAAAATGGTGAAAAATCACGGTGTTCCCATCCGAAATGATGAAAAATTGTGGTTTTACCACCAAGAACGATGAAAAATTGTGTTTTTACCTATCAATAATTGTGAAAAAAAAACGTGGTTTTACGATCAAAAATGGTGGTTGTGTTGCTAACATTATTTGATATTATTTCGGTAGGTTATAGTTACAATGCGGATATAACTGGGTATGTATTATCGACAATATAGTTTTTGGCTTTGTCCAAAAATAGGCAAACAAAATATGTAGAACCTCGGGACGGATTCAGAACCTTTTTTGCGGCGGCAAAGGTCGCTGTACGACACCAGGAGTTTCGTGTCTGGTGGACCGTGTCCCTAAATGTCCTAAACAACAATCTAGCTTGAAAGTCGCATTGTCATCATCGGATATCGGATATTTATCTCTTTGGCCGTTCGCAACTACGGAGGCTCCCTCCCCCTGTGCGACGGGACGCGGCAGCTACGGAAACGACTTTCTAAGTGGATGGAAACGAATCCTGCAACTTTAGGGCATTGCCTCACAACATCTGGGGTTTCATCAAGTTTCATCCATATCTCGCTGGATGTCTGCAGGATTGGCCATCCCCTAGGACTCGGCTCAGAGTCCCATGGCTCCCCTCATTTTCCCCGTGCCAGCCCTCTCCAGGCAGGCGATGGCACAGCCCCACGGCTCAAACGTCTCTGGTGGTCAGATGTCGTTTGATGTTCTCCCCAGGCGATCTAGACGGCCATCTCCATAGCGATCTTGCCTCGGTTGTGGCTGAAGAATAGCTGAAAACTGGTGAGTCGATCCAAATGGAACTGGGGAGCATTGTGATTTTTGGCGGGATTCCCAGTCCCACGACATTGAGTGTGGCACTTCGGCTTTCACACTGTTGTATGCTTTAACAGTCTTATCGTATGTGTCACCTCTGCCAGTTCCCAACAATCTTGACTCAAGTTGAATCTGCAAGCTTCAAGAATCGTGTGCATATATATATATATAACATATACATATACATATACATATACATATACATATACATATACATATACATATACATATCAAGTCAAATCATATCATATGTATACATGTATATATATATATATATTACACCAAAGATTGACCCACCATTTCCTCACCATGTCCCAGCCATCATGCCCTTCTTGGCTCTCCCAGCCATGTGGACTGTAACCCACCAGCTCGAAATCGGAGGCTTGGAAGCCGTCGATCTCCTTCACCTGAAAGAGCTCGGAGCTCGTAGCAAGATGCTATCTTCATTGGATTGGTTTAAGGGAAAATCTACAGGAAACCATGGTTTTTACCATCAAATATAGGGCTTTCCTGTAGATTTTCCCTTAAACCAATTCTATGATATCTCAAAAGAATGAGATTAAGTATGGAATAAAAATAGAATAGTGAAAACATTTAATCTAATATAGATGTCTAATCTAATATATAGAACTAGTGAAAATAAAATTAGATGTCTAATCTAATATAGAATAGTGGAAACATGTCTGAGACATACTTAGATATAAATACTGAAAATAATCAGTAATGAATGGAGAGAGAAAAATTCGTCGAAGTTACACTATATCAGATATACAAATCACGCACCACTGCCAGACCCAGAGATTGAAAGCCAACACAGTGATATAACCAGCCGAACTGGAGTTATGAATTGTGATTTAACCTGCCAAAATGGGAATTTAACTGGGTTCCATGGGAATCGAATGGGATTTCAATATGATATTATGGGATCTGATCTGCATGAAATGACATATACAACAGACAATATATATATATATAAATGGGTTTGTCCAAGAATTGCGGATTTGCACCTGTAATGAGAAACATGATGATAAACCATGAGATTTTTCAAATTTCCCCATGTTTCGTTGGTGACGGCGATACCTCCAGCCCGCCTCGGGGTTGATCTTCAACACCGGGAAGGGCCTGGGGGTCCTCTCTAACTGCCTCGACCAACAATAATGTGTCCATTGAAATAATCCCAGGGTGGACAAAGGGCTTAAACCCAGAATGTGAAGCTCAAAAACTCCCAAACCAATGCTTCCAAGTTATTCGCGCTGGTCACTTGCAGATGGGATGCAAAATCAACATGGAAGCAAAATACTTTCCCGAAAAATGAAGTTTCGACAAGATTCCTGGTCACATGGGATTTTAATGATGATCAAACAAGGGAGCTTTGGTGGAGTTGTCCGAAAAATGTCAGACACATCCACGTCCAGCACCAGACTCTGGGTCACAGGTCGAGCGCCCAGACGTCTTCAGCGGTTCCACATGGTTCTGATAGACGTGGGTGTTCCCAAGGTTGTGCACCTTAAACCGCCATTCACGGAAACCACAGGTTTTGATCATGCTTAGTATTAGACCAGCCTCTTTTTTGGTTCATAGCGTGTTTTCACTTTTTGCATGTTTTCGCCAGAGAATTCTTTGGGGACATCATAGTTTTGGCTCATACTCATATTGCGACTCTGTGCCAGCATGGTGAAGTGACCCACATGGATCCGCTATGATAGGACTCCCTTTTTGAGAACTATTCTTAAGTTCCCATTGATTCAATTGATGTTTACATATCCATCTATATTCCCATGTTTAGTGAATGTGAGTGATGGTTAAAGCCCGGCACTGCAACAGGGGCAAGCCCCTCCCACTTTGATGTTGATGGGGTGATAAAGATTCCAATCACTAGGGTCGTATCTACTGATCGTGTAATTAGATGGGATGAAACTTTCATGAAACCTGAAAAAGAATCAGGTAGATATCATCGAACTACCATCCTGGAAAAAAACTTCAAGCATTTTGGGGTGGTTAGCAGCAACGAGCAACTCTCCTTGGGCTTCCCAACGAACTCCCCAGGCTTCAACCCGCAGACCTATCCACATCCAGGCTTGGGGCTTTTCAAAGCGTTGTAGTGACCCCCAAAACAGTAAGAGATCATATGGGGGGTTCCTAAAATGGGGGTACCCCCAAATCATCCCTTTTAATAGGATTTTCTATTATGAACCATCCATGTTAGGGTACCTCCATTTTAGGAAACCACCATATAGGTCAAAATACTGGGGATTACTTGTCCATTTTTGGGGGAGGGACCGCAAAGATGGGTGGATGGGATAAATCCAGACAGAATAGCGATATCACAAGCAAATAGGGATGTGACCAGTGCGAAGCATTGATTCGCAACATTTGCTTCAAGTTGGGGCGCTTTCTGAACCGCCGACAATATGTCCTTGATAGACTGATTGTTTGAAAGTGCTGCACAAGAAAAGAAGAAAGGAATAAGTAATGGACCACAAAAGGCCGTACCTTTCAGGCCCCCTTCCTGTGTGCCAGTGACTCCTCAAAATGGCCATAAAAAACTGGAGAAAATTATATTATGTCAATAAAATCAACAAATGAACACTGGAATAGGATGGATATGGGGCTACCTTCTTTTTGAGACAAACCCATCCCCATTCCTCTCCCATTGTCCCACACCTGAGCCATCATGCAGGTCAGCAGAGAATAAGATGCGATGTTGAAGGGCACGCCCAAGCCCATATCACACGAGCGCTGGTACATCAGGCAGGACCTCAAAAGATCAGCCGCTTGGTGGATGACCCGAGCATAGCAATTTTCACTTCAAGGTCTATGAAAGGATTCCTTCATTTGGGGCCTGGATGGACCCCATTGCATGCTCCAAAGGTATGTTTGTTACAGGTTCAAATAATCTTAGATTCTGGTTCAAATGGCTCAAAACTCAGTACCGTGCACGAAAAAAAAAAGTGACACCAGTAGAAATTGAAATGTAAAGACATATTTAACTCAATTTTTCTGTGCGCGCCACAGAACATGACTTTTGTTGAGACCTCCCGACATAAGCCATAATCTAACGTTTTCGTAGACTCAATCAAACTAAGATGGGTTTGCCACCACCCAACTGAGCTTCCTGCAGTTCACCGTTGGCAACATAGAACTGGCAGAACCTGCGGCAAGTTTCTGAGCGCACAAGTGCGACTGTGAAAGAGTACCTTAAAACCATGGGATCCTGGTTGAACATCCCAAAACAGATGATAGTCTGGCACGTTCAACCCAGTCAACCCAGTTTCCAGGGGGTCGTTGGTATTTTCAGCCATGCCCATGATATGAATCGTGTGATTCTTGAGACCCAAGCTCTGCTTAGCTCCATCAAGGCGCTCTCCCTGTGCTATCAAGGATGTCGGCTGAGGAACTGCGTACAGATTTGAGAACCGAAGCTCCTGACCCTGTAATCCACTATGATCCACTCTTGGAAGGTTTGAGGAAAAAAAAAAAACATGATTTTCACGAACCAGCCAGCCAGCCACCCCCCCAACGGGCACATGTGACACGGGGGCAACGCCATGAGGTGCAAATCCGCAGGATTCCAGGCTGACAGAAGGATGCGACGATCCTTGATGCTCCGGAGATGCTGGGGATATCATGGTAGCTGGGTACCAACATGCACAATGTCGTGATGCCTCCATTGCAAACAGAGAGCTGCTATGTTTCCCTGGTGAGAGCAGAAAAAGTTGCCTCTGTTCGAAACCCACGTAAAGGAAAAATGCGTAAAAAACAAGTTGATTGAAGCGTAATCCTCCTATCATTATTACTACCATTATTGACTATTACTATCATCATTATTAGTGTAGAAAAAAAAAACAGCCAATTTGACCCTGAAAAAAATCATCATGGCCATCGGCGTCACTATGTGTCCGGACAGTGGGATCTTCCTTGATCTTCCGGATGCACTCGGCCAGCTGATCCACGCCCTGGCAATTTGGTCTTGTTCAATAAATATACATCCAAGGGTGTGCGCTTAAATATGGTTAAATGTGGTTTCATGGTGTTAAATGTTCTTAAGTGTTGTTACATGTGATTGAATATTGCTAAATGTGGTCAAATAGTGTCGAAAACATGAAGTTTCGCATGTTAAAATGGCCATAGTTTTGGGGTAAATTCTCCTTTTTTGTCTGCCATCAATTTATACAGCCAAGAATAATGGGTCGGTATTTCAGCTAAATTTTGGCAGTCATGAAGTCAAAGAGGGTTTCTCCCATCCCCCGCCTGTCCAGTGTAGTCAGTGTGCATGTCCTGGTACTTCGCCCCAAAGTGGCGCCACCTGAGTCCCCAACGTCAGTCGGACCCAGCCGGGGAATACCCCCTGCAGTGCAGTTGTGGGATCCATGCGATGATCCAGGCTACCTTCTTTTCAGACAAACCCAGGGCGTAGCAAATCGTAGAACTGCACAGTTCTAATAGGTTTTAAAAAAAACTCTATTGAGGCAGTAGAATCCCGTATGGGTATAGCTCAAGATTTGCTACGGATCTTACAAGTTGGATCCATGCAAAAGGCCGTCGGAAAAAGACACAGAAAAAGCCACTTTTTGCGCCACTGTATGTTTATTGGCATTTGATGAGATTGCCAAGAAGAACATCTTCCCAAAAAAATGTGGTTTGACTGAAAACCCTCAGAATGATCATGTTAAGAAAGAAAATGATGATCTACCACTTGATTTTTGGGCACCCTATGTTCAAACAAACCCAAATGCGGTTTTGCTATCTCGACAATCTATATAAAAGGTCCCACGGGTTATCATCATTTTACCGCACTTTACCACATTAGCCACCCCATATACAAAACCTGACTAATTAGATGTAGAGGTAAAATGACCCATTTCCATCCATTTTGCAGCCTTGTGACTATCATTTACCTACATAGGTTGGAGCAGTCCTGCTTTTGTTATATCGTAACTGTCGTAACTCCTCCAGGAAAAACACCAAATCCCTGGAGTTCCGTAGTCAGCGCTCAGGCATTGGCTGGAAGCCGTAGACAGGGCCCAGGTCGCCTTCCTCGCCGAATGGGGTCCATTGGCCCACCCGTTCAGCCCATAGTTGCACCGCCCAGAAATCATGGGAAAAAAAGAAAGGGAATTTACAAATAATCTCATCTCCCATCCATATGAAAGACCCCCTAAATCTATGGTTCCCTTTTGGAATGTGGAAATTCCCAACCAAAAAAAACATGGTTTCGTGGCCGTGTTTAATATGGATGGGAGTTTGACAATTTAATCCTGGGGGGATGAAATTACCATTGATATTTCGCCAAATCCACAGGTCTTTTTAAGGTGAAATCTGGCAACAGATCGGTGTCAGAAACGGCTTAACCCGAATATCCAAATGTAGCTGGTGGTTGCCTTATGGAAGTGTTCCCAAAATGGGAGATGAATGAGAAACCTCCAATGAGAAGTGGTTATACCACCCATTTCTGTAAAATTGGGAATGGTTTATTGCTCGGTTTGCCACATTCTTATATATCTTGAGAGGGGAATGCCGTGGTTGAGAGCATCCACCGTTTTTGGGAATTCGCCTACTTGGCATCAGCAATAACCACTTGCTCACCAGTTGGGGATGCATCAAAACCTATGTTTTTCCCAAATAAATCAGTGGATGCACATCCATAACGACCAGTTATTTTGACGCGAAAATCAAGGTACTGATCGCCTCTTGGCTTTGATCTGTAGCCAAGTGTGAATGAAAATGATGATACACCCCCAAATTCCTTAAAATTGCACATCTATAATCCCTTCCCCCAGTCATATTAAACACCCCCTGGCCACGAAACCATTGTTTTTTTGGTTGGGAATTTCCACATTCCAAAAGGGGACCATAGATTTATGGGGTCTTTCATATGGACGGGCCGATTAGTCATCCCCAAACAAACGCTATCCCATCTGATTTCTCCATCGTTGAAAACGGTTTCTGAAAAAAAAATGGGCTTAGTTCATAAATGTTCATAAATGTTCATAATCTCCAATGACTCAGGTAGTATATCTTCCTACAAGCCACAACGCTACTTTTGTTCATGGCTCCTTTGATGAACCCGTGGATTTATGGCCCAGGGCCTCGCGATGTCCCAAGCCGCGCTTGTCCAGGAATTCGCGAGAGCCGTTGGCTTCCCAAATCCTGGCATCGAAATATTCGAAGAGGCGAGCCACAAAAATATGGAGGATAAACCCTGGAAATATTGATATTGATAGGAATTCTAGGAAATATTGATATCAGGAATTGGAACTGTAGGAAATATTGATATTATCTAATCTGGTTCGTGGTATAACTTACTACACCTCTGAAGAATATGAGTTCGTCAGTTGGGATGATCATTCCCAATATATGGAAAAATAAAAAATGTCCCAAGCCACCAACCAGTAATTGAAATATGGTGATAATACCATCATTAGCTCATTTAATGGTATTTTGCCAATTGATCATATCACCCATGGTACAAATTGAGCGTAATAATACTATCAATGAATTGAAAGTACTCCCAATAGATTCCCCAAATGTTGGATTTACCAAAGAGAAAATATAAGATATCATGGAGAATATGGATCTTTCACCCAGTGACGCAAAAATGTTATAGCATAGTGGGAGATAAATTTACAAAATGTTGTCTATGGGAGGTAACTGTGGAGCGCAGGATCCAACTTATCATCACGGCCCATGGCCCTTTTTGTTGACCAGTTGACCACTAAGTGACCCATGTTCGCTAACCATCAAGGTATCCCAGATTGAAAGACAATGTGCCGTGCCTGTGTCTTTTTCCGGTAAAAACATGATTCACCGTGGATGCCCTTCAAAAAACTGATGGGACAAATGTTCATTCATCAACTTCAAAAATCGCCTAGGGGATGCAAATGAGCATGGTGGATGTATCAATTCGAGATCACATTTTCCCTAAAAAAACTCGGACATCGCCGGACATGGGCAATTCTTCCCCTCATCACTTCCACTTCTTTGGCAATCCACGGGCAACAGCCCCGGGCCTAACACCCTTCTCGGTCAAATGGTTGGCGTTGGTATCACCTTTGATGAACCTGGCAATCCCACGCTGAAAAACAGAAACAGTTCCCATGGTCTGAGGTAAAAAGGTGTGGAATTACCCAACCTGGTTATGACATTCACAGTTCGCCATGGTATAGATGGCCCATAGAAATAGATGGTTTACCTGGGTTTACCTATTAATAGCATGGTGATTTTCCATGGCGAACTGTTAAATAACCAGAGGGTAAACCTGTTCACAATCTTCTCATTTTCTGATTGGACCCGCAAAACCCCCCATCATTGTCTGCTCGTCCACCAATGACTTGGGATGAGATGAAACTGACGCTGAGACTAGTGACGTAAATTCCAGGGATTTTGATCATTCGGCTCATGATAAAGACTTACATTCATAGGGTATATCATGTGGGTTAAACAAGACAGATCTGATGTCTTTATTGCGCAAATCTGCAAAAAACGATTGGTTGTTCCAATTACAGTATTGGTTTCATAATCTTGCACTGCTTGACCGACAACATAGGGTTCGAGGGCAGTCCGAATTATTTTTTTTAAATGAATTCTATGTGTCAAACTCCTGCGGATAGCAATGCCGCCCAAAGCAGCAAAAAGGCGGTGCATGTCATCGACAAGAATCAGTAAGTGACCAATTCTGGCAAAGCACTGTTCAAAACAAAAAAGTTCTGATACGTAAGCTCGTAAAAAGGTAGAATCAGCAGCTTTGACTTTGCAGTGATCAGAGGGCTCAGTTCACCTTAGTACCCTTTTGTTCAATCAAAATATCTGGTAATTCTGGGTCTTCATCCCAAAAAAGTGATGGAAACTATAGCTTTTCACCCATGCCCAGCAAGTTAAATCACCATTTCTGCTGGTTAAATCACCATCTCTGGTGGTTTTTGAGCACCAGAAATGGGGATCCCAATTGATGATTCCCAATCCTCCTCGGATCCACATGTTTTTTTTAATCCAAGGCACCACAGCAATTCTTCCAGCACCCCACGCCAGAAGACGCGCTTGGTCGTCAGTAGTGGGAACGACTTGCCTTAGCAAAGGCGGCAAAGCGTTGTGGCGAAAATCCCAACGTTTTCGGTTTCCAGAACATCATCTGGACATGGGAAAATACCCGGCCTGGCCTGGTAAACAGCCACATAACGAACTGGAAAATCACCATGTTATAGCTCGGTAAATCAACTATTTCTATGGGCCATGTTCAATAGCAAACTGTTAGTTTACCGGAGGGTAATCTGGAACATGTGGGAATTTCAGGAAAATCATCGGGCAAATAGGAAATTCAAACACTCAATCAAAGGATGGGTCAAAAGCCTGTGATGGTCCCATTTCTTCTTGGTGGATTGAAGATCGTGTGTGTCAAAGGTATAGCAACTCCCAAAAAAATGCCTCAAAGTTGGAAAGCTGGAAAATATGGAGGAAACATCATCGAACACTTCCATCCTGGTTTCACACCTTTCGGCATCTTTTTTGGGGCTGTTACATATTAAAGTTACAAAGAACATCAAAGAACTACGATAGTTCACTCATGGTCCCTGGGATTGTCATCCAAGCACGCCTGTGCACTTTAAAAACCGAGGTGGTGAACGCATCGCTCCCTGGTGTCAGTAATTGGAGTGCTTCAAGGAAGCAATTCTTGTCATTAAAAGACTAGGGCTGTCCTGGAAATGTTCCCTTAAAATCCCTGCATACATCATTCTGGGATAATGACTTTGGTGGAAATCGATTGATTTGGCAGCTCCTCCTATCCATTTGGGAACGCTATATCACTACTAAGCTGACAATCTCAGTCAGAGACTGGCCATCATGTTTACAATGTAATTGTAGCTGGGATCATCTAAAGTGTGTGAACTTACCCTCTGGTAAACTAACATAGCTATGGAAAATCACCATTTTTAATGGGAAAACTCACTATAAATGGCCATGTTCAATAGCTATGTTAAATTACCAGAGGGTACCAACCAAAGTGTTTGTGCATTCCTTTCCGAGCTCCCGTCTAGAAATGTCTTGTATTCTGGCCCTTGCCGATTGACTTGCACAGTCTCAACCCATGGTTTCCTGAAAAAATGATATATTAGATAACATCAGCTATACACACATACACCTTCTAGAACACATTTTCCTGTGATGGTCACTGAACCATTCCTGCTCCCGTTTCCCAAACCGCAACAAGCTCCCATTTCGAACTGAGAACGCCACGGAGATTGAAGCGCATGGAATGTCCGAAGATGGAACGAGTTCCGACCTTATCCCCGACCATGGCCAATTGGATCATGATAACCCTGGTTAGCAAGTCCTGGATTCCATCGGTATCCGGTCCCATGAAAAATCAGTGATGACCCAGACCCCATCCCCAAATCGTCCCCGTGACTTCTCGCTGTTCAACTGGGTTTGTATTCAAAAATGTTGGCAAACCCCTAAATCCATGGGTTAATCACCATTCTCCATATTTAAATGGCTATATATTTGGCAAAGTACCCCACTTTCAGTCAAACCCAAATACCCCGCGTTTTGTTCTATATCCCATTCTATCCCCGTGGTAGTGGGTTATAATATTCCCATTCATCGTTGTTTAAATACCAATTATCCCAGGGAAAAAAAAAAACATATTGATTGAAATCCAATTCTCCAAGTACCTTTTTCTAAGATCTGCTGCAGAGTTTCCATGTTTTTACGGTGCCTCCGCGAGAATCTGAGCCTTGCGACACCTGTGCGATCTTCCATGTGGACACCTTCATCGATGATGAGTTTGATGGCCTGGCGCCGCGTTGGAGTGGTAGGGCCCACAAGCCATTGCAAATTATACATCTATGATATGATATATATATATATATGTGTACATATATTATATATTATATATATATACAATGTATATGTATTGTATATATAATGTATGTTAAATATACTATGTACGTATTATGTCCGATATGATAATATATATATACATTTGTTGATTTTTATCATGCTATTTCTATGAGCTGTTCGTCCACAGCCCCATTGAAGCAGCTCAGCTTCAACTCATGTGACTGCTGTGTGATGCCGTGGGCACCTTCAAGTACTGGTACTCCTCGTGCAAGAATTGTCCAGCACCTTCGAACAGAAAGCCACATCAAGGTGACGGTCATGAACTCATCCCCATGAAAATCATCATCTCAATGACTGGTTGGTGGTTGAGCCCTACCCCTCTGAAAAATGATGGAGTGAAAGTCAGTTGGGATGATGACATTCCCAATATATTGGAAAAGAAAATGTTCCAAACCACCAATCAGATGATGTTTGTCGCTCTGGCTGTAGTTTTGGTGCACTAAAATAAAGAAATACTCGGACCAAGTGCAGCACCGCCCGCTGCAGCCAGCGCTGCGGAGGGTTGTTGAACCTGGGCTGATGGGAATTGTTCGGAGCAGTGGTAATTGGTTCAAATGGAAAATGGTTGGAAAGTGAGTTGGATAATAGTTGGTAAATGAATTGCAAATAGATGAAAAATCGTTGATGAGCTGGAAACTGGAAGGCAAACGAATGGCAAATAGTTGGAAAACGAGTGGCAAATGGTTGGCATGGTTCGAAACGGTTACCAAATGAATGGCAAAGTGTTGGGAAATGGTTGGTAAGTGAGCTAGAAACTGGAAGGCAAATCAACGGCAAATGGTCGAGAAAAGGAAGTGGCAAATGATTGCTAAGTCGAAAAGGGTTATATACTAAATGAATGGCAAATAGTTGGAACACAAGTGACAAGTGGTTGGCAAGTGGTTCGCAAATGTCACCAATGACTGTATATTTTTTTGATACCAGCCATTTACCCTCTGGTAAACTAACATAGCTATTGAAATTGACCATAGAAATAGTGGATTTTCCCATTAAAAATGGCCATTTTCCATAGCTACGTAACAAATTACCAGCCATTTACCAAGCAGGGTGAACAGAAACCTAAAAGCACTGGCTGTAACGAAATGATGATTTCCGATTTCCTCAGGTCCAATGAGCTGAGTGCTGAGTAACTGGGGATGTGATGTGGATACTCGTGATATACCATGTTATATATATATATAATGGGGTTATATATAATGGTATAAACTAATTATACTAATGATATATATAATGTTATATATAATGGGATTAAATTATACTTATGATGGGTATATCTTATGATATACCCACAATATATACCCATTAATGATATACTAATGATATACTAATGATATATATATAGGCTCAAAATCGGGTGTCCCAAAAATTGGATTGTGGGTAGTACAAACGACCTATCCATCTGCGGTCCCACCGATTCTTGCAACGAACCTTGGCACATACCGCCCACGCCGCGTGGGCCCATAGATTTCCAGTCACCCGACAGTCGCCACATCTGACGAGCAGCCAACGTTGCTGCTCCCACATAGCCACCTTTCGTCAGGCTTTCCTGCTGGTATCAATGTGGCAAATGGTATGATTCAATCCATCTGAAGGTCACATGAAACCATGGGCTACGACAATGGGCTAGTCTATATATAAACCAAAGATCAAGGATTCATCAACCCAAATCTTCCTGATGTCTGATGTTCAACCAAGCAATCAACAGTGTGGTCGAAAATCCTCCGGTCCTGCGCAGGGACTCTCTCATAGATGGTGAAATCAAAGGTGATATCCCCGTGGCTATTGGTGGCACCAACATGCACTGGCCTCGGCCGGTGAAGCAATGGTGTTTCGTAATGGTGGTCTAGGTCGGTTGCTAGTTTGGAGGCCCATTCTATACCTTGAGGCAGATTTAGTGGGATTTCCCAAGATTCCAAACGTACTACGTACCACTCGAACATCATGAGTCTAGTCAAGAATTGATCCTTAAAACTTAATACTCATTCTGGTGGAGACTATTCCAGTCTCATCCCCAAAAAAACGATGCAAACGTCATCAAAAATCACAAAAAATGGGTCCACAAAACACCTTCGGATTGGCGACACTGGTGGATGCGCCAGCGCTTTGGTCATTTGGGGATGGGTCGTTAAACCCTCCAGTTAAACAGCGGCTCGCTGGAGCCGGCAGATATAGCAAAAAATCTCTCCAAAACATACTAAAACTGGTTGGTGGTTGAGCCCTACCCCTCTGAAAAATGATGGAGTTCGCTAGTTGGGATCATGACATTCCCAACTGAATGGAAAGTCATAAAATTCATGTTCCAAACCACCAACCAGAAGACAGGTTTTGACCCATTCCTATGGTTCTTTTGGAGATGACTTAGATTGAAATCCAAGGACCACAGCCTTGTTTTGCCCTATGCCTCCTTTGGATTCATTGTGTGACACACTTGGCCACAGAACCAATGGCAATTGGTCCCCAAAAAAACTACTGTATTTCAAGTCGAAACCATAGCATGTGTCATCGCTGTACAACAAGATGATCTTCCAAACCCAAATTTTGCACAGCTTTATTTCTTCACGCAAGTTCCAAGCAGCTGGAATGCATCACTGATGGCCGGAAAGAAGGCATCACACTCAAACTCCTGAGAAACCGAACTGCGGATGGTTACCTTCAGGTATCATCAGACCTGGTATATTATAGGAATATCCCACATTTAGCTCGATGATTTCCCCAAAGCTGAGGTTAAGGGGTCACCAAAACTCTGGGAACTGTTTCAGGTGTGCACAAGTAAGTGCCAAAAAGTGGATTTCGACATCTCTACTCTATATACTTCATCTATTTGGGGCCGACTGAAGACGTCATTTGCTCCTGCCACCTGTTGAAACGGAAACATTCGGAGCAGCTTAAGAAAAAATTACATCACAACCTTAACATACCTTAACTAACACCAAAAATGGGGGAAAAAAACAACAACAACAACAACAACTCACCGTAAAATCTGGTGAAACTCTGCTATCTCAGAGGATGTCATGAAGAGTTTCTTCCACTTCACCAGCCGACCTTAGCCACCCGGGTGATGTAGAGACGCACGCAGCTTGGCATTTCCATGGCCTCCACATAGAGCGGTCTTAGAAGTTGGGGAATAGGTTCCGTTCCCAATTTTTGGCCATCAAATAATGGCTGGTTGGTGGTTTCAACCATCTTTAAAAATATGACAGTCAGTTGGGATGATTATTCCCATATATTATGAAACATGTGGAAATATACCCTCTGGTAAACATACAAAAAGCTATTGAAGCCATGGCCATAGAAATAGTTGACTTACCCAGCTAGAAAATGGTGATTTTCCATAGTTATGTGGTTGTTTACCAGAGGGTAACGGTGAAATGTTTGAAGCTGGGGGTTTCATCGGATTAAATAGATGATACTGTAATTCATAAGTTCCCAAGTTCCGATTTTCGATGGCCATGAAATCTAATCGGGACATGGCAATGATACCCTGTGAAAAGACCCAACTCCTAGGAGATGGACACGACAACGTCAGAATCGAAACAGAAATTCCAAAAACAGGACAGACCAACCAAGCCTGTCAAGCCTTGAAAAACAGGATTAGATACCTTGAAATATTCTGCTGATTTTCCCAATTCCAAAACAGGGTTAGATACCTTGAAATATTCTGCTGATTTTCCCAATTCCAAAACAGGGTTAGATACCTTGAAATATTCTGCTGATTTTCCCAATTCCAAAACAGGGTTAGATACCTTGAAATATTCTGCTGATTTTCCCAATTCCAAAACAGGGTTAGATACCTTGAAATATTCTGCTGATTTTCCCAATTCCAAAACAGGGTTAGATACCTTGAAATATTCTGCTGATTTTCCCAATTCCAAAACACGGTTAGATACCTTGAAAAATGATTACCCATTCACAGAATCTCTTTAGCCCAGTGGCAACATGTGGCAAGCAGATCCCCAAGGACCAAATCTTGTGGCGTTTCCATGAGGAGGCCTAACCCACCAGTAATGAGAATTGGACCAACATACTATCGATATTCACTAATGGAAATGCTCCTCTTCGGATTCCTTGTAATGGCTACCAGTACTATACTGGCCATTGACCAAATCAACCATAGATCTTCGCTGAATACTCTTCAACAGCTGGCCTTCTCAAACCAGTCCACAACAATGATTTTACCATTTTTTAGTGACCAAATGCTGGGACGAATGATTTCCCGTATGAACGTACCCAGGCAATTCAATCCAAGAAAACCGACTGGTGACCTAAATCGTTGATGGCATTTCATTCACGAGAGAATTGATGTGGGAAAATCCCAACATGGTATCCAAAACTTGCAATTCAACAGCCAAAATGGTGATCATCCAATTAAAATTGGTGGGTACCCATTTTCAGACACCTTCATTCAAAACAAGTTCAAATGTGAAAATATGCCTAGCCTTTCGCGAGCCTCCTCGCACACAGAACTTGGTAGGTCGGCTGGAATTTCTAATCAACAATCCCATGACCATGTTGATCAAATCCCCCTCTATCCGGGAATTGTTAGGGGAATTTGCTTGGAGCTCAATTCCCAACCAATCTCTTCACCTTAGCAGACCCACCCCTTCACGACCTAAAAATCCTTCAGATGCCCCTGTCACTGCGCCTCTTTGTAGGCGGCTTGCCCGCCGATCACAAAAATCTCGGCCACATCACTTCGGCCTGGTCGTTGTTCAAAAAAACAATGGGGGGAACAAACATGTCCCCTTTTGAATATGGACATTTCAGGGGGCTAACAATGAGACCAACCACTGATAGTCAGGATATCGTGAACCAGCTGATACTCAAAACTTAGGAACCTCTACATGCACCAAAACTCAAGCAAGGTGATTGATTGGGATGCCAACGAATTACGAGGGAAGGCACTCTCAACGCCCAATTTGGGACCACAAATCCTTGGGCCATTGTTAAACTTTTGCCAACCTGTGGTTGGGGTTACGCAGCATCTATGCCACAACTTGAACATGCCAGGCCTAGCCATTATCCTTTATCGTCATGTGCTTTGATGGTGAAAGATATCCATGTAATTGCATCTCCATGTTCGTGGTTCAAGAAACCCATTTTCCGGAAAGTAGATTTCCAGTATGAAACCCAACAATTGATCCATCACATTCCACGGGGGCAGAGGGATTTGGCCCCTTTCTTCCACAGTAGCTGTCCGTTCTATACTTGCTAGTGGGGTTCCACCGGATCTCAAAGATTTCTCCAAGAAAAACCTAGGGCCCTGTGGAGGATAGGTGCATATAGGGGGTCAAGTCATTGTGGTGCCAGTTGTTTTTTGTATTCAGCCATCGATTTAAATGGAAGGCTGAGGAATATGACCCATACCCACATGACCATTGTATGAAGGAATATTGCGGAGTCATGTTGTTTACATTTACAAATGGGGGGCAGGGTCCATTGCCATGTCAGATTGCAAGATGGCAAACCCTCGCACACTACCATTCAAAAGTGTCCAGACCTCTTTTTCGAATATCATTGTATTTAGCCACATGGTCAGCCAAAATCCATCAAAATTCGGCCACACAACCAATGTTTTTGCAGCAACACGGGAAATATTCAATGTCCCATAAGACTTGTGCGTGACAATCACCGTAGAAATAACGAAGAATCAGCGCCGCCTTCCAGTGAGGTGACTGCACTGGCCACTGAGGATGCCACGAGCACTCCCTGCCAAGCACATCGAAGCCAAAACAGATTTGAAAAATGGGTTGTATCCTATGTATACCTCCCAAGTTATGGACATTCTAGTACGTTTAATACCAGTAGTGCCGCACAAGGCGGTGGCGGAAGTTCCAAAAATAACAAACCTCTAGGAGAGCTTGGTTGTTGTGACTCACGGATGGCAGAGCGAATCCACTGATGGACCCGAAGGCGGTTGGAGTTGTACTTTTTGAAATGGTTGCAGTGGTCACCTCACCACAACTGCTGGATGTAGCGTGCTGTAGCGCAGTTGTAGTTGTAATTGTACCGTAGTGTAGTGGAGTTGTAGTTGTAATGTAGTGTAATTAGTGTAATTAGCGTAGTTGCAGTTGTAGTTGCGGTGTGGTGTAATTAGTGTAGTGTAGTGCAGTGTACTGACGTCTTGTGTACTGTTGGGTGGTATAGTGTAGTGTAGCGCATAGTAGTGTAGTTGTAGTTGTAGTGTATGTAATTAGTGTAGTGTAGTGTAGCGCAATGCAGTGGTAGTTGTACTGGTAGTTGCAGCTGCAGTTGCAGTTGTAGTTGTGGCGTAATGTAATGTAATTAGTGTAGTGTGGCGTTGTGTAATGTAGTCTAGTTGTAGTTGTATTTGAATCTTTTAGTTGTAGTGTGCCGCAGTGTAATTAGCGTAGTGTAGTGTAATGTAGTGTAGTTATATTTGTCGAAGGAAGTTTAGAAGTCAAACTTCCGACAATATGGAGAGATGGAAAGGCAGAGGCGGGGACAATCAGAGAAGAGAAGAGAAGAAGAGAGAAGATCAGAGAAGAGAAAGAGTAAGAAGAAAGAAGATGCAGGTGTGGGAAAAGGTAGAAAAGTGGCAGTTCACTAGGTTTTTCCAATGATTCGTGGCTCCGGAGGGTCGAAAAGTAGGCTCGCTAAAGCGGCGGGTGCGGAGCCATTTGGCCAGATGAGAGATGAAAAATTGCACGCCGTTGTGGCGCGAAGCACGTTTGGAAGTCAAAATGTACAAAACACGTCAGCTCCGGGCCACTTTTGGAAGTTGCAGCGTCGAAAAGTGCACGCCGTTGTGGCGCGAAGCACATTTCCAAGTCAAAAGTGTTAAAAACTGATGGTCTCGGACCATTTTTGGACGTTCAGATGCCGTTTGGTGTGGCAGGTGCAAGGGATTCTGTACATTGTCAAAAGAGCAAAGCGTTAATGTTTTTGTAGCCTTTCCTCAAACGATGGCAGCAGGCGTGGGACATTTGAAGAGGATCTGGAAAGATGAATTTCGCGTCGCAGGCGCAGTACAAGAGACATGTTCACCAGAGATATTCGGAGGTCTGGGCACTGATTTCCTGGGAAGGGTTGCATTTTGGAGCTTCAGATCTTCAGGTTGCTAAGATGATTTTTGCATGACAGGTGCAGCACTTCGTGTGACCTGGCATCACTTTTTCGTGGCAGGCGCTGTACTTTAGACAGATGGAGTGGAAAAGTCGCAAAACGCATTGGTAAGAGGCCGTCAGCTCTGCACTCAACTTTCTATTTTTGAAGGAAGTCTCGCAGAATTGTTTCGTTTTTGATGTTGTCAACTTCGAAAATGAGGAAGTCTCGCAGAATTGTTTCGTTTTTGATGCTGTCAAGTGCAAAAAATGAGGAAGTCTC